CATTTGTTGAATTTTAGCTCTAGCAAATAATGAAAACAAAAGATTTTCATAAAAGGAAAAAGAAAGAAGAAAGTATTTGAAAGTTGTATTTTTAGAATGAAAATTTTGAAGAAAATGCATTTTTATTGAAAGATAATTAATTTCTGAAGCAAATTGAGAAAAATCTAATTTGAAAAGAAAAGGAATGAAAAGAAAAATGATAAAAAGATTCTGCTGATTTGTTTTTTGTTAAATACAAAATTTGAAAACAACAAATATTTTAGAACATTTGCCAATAAAAGAAGTGATTTGAATTGAGGGTATGCGCATGGGTGTGATTATCTATACTCTCAAGTCACACCTACACTCACATCCGTTTATAGTAAAGTGAACAAAAAATGAATACATACGTGTTTCGCAGCGAGGTCCAGTCCATGATGATGTACACTAAACAAACATGGAATGAATGAGTTATCTCTGAAATGCAGATGAATTCCTCGACTTACGGTACAAGAGTTTGGTCCAGTGCATTTTCCACCATTCGAACATCGTGGAAAACAAATGGCTAAAAGATGAAATAGAAACCAAACCATCATAATTTCTTTTAGTCATAAAATGGAAACCGAGATCGATTTCAGCATCAGTGATCTTGAAGAGAATGGAGCTGTGAATAGACTAACCGATTAAAAGTGAATCTGTAGAGATGTGTTCTCACAAAGCGTTTTCTCGTGAGGCACATACAAATTGTCTGAACTATGAAGTATATGTTTGTGGTGCAATGGAGAAGCTATGACAAACTTTCCACTCGGTACTATGACATTTAATAGACTTATGCGCAAAACAAGCGTCAGATATAAATCATTAGGTAGTATATTTTTCGTTGTCCATTAATCTCATTCAATATTTTTCTCTAAAGAGCGTGACAGGATAGAGAGCACCAGGAAGCCCTTATTTTACATTCGTTATTTTTGAAACGGAGGAAAGATAGTATAATTTTAATTATTAAAGAAAATTTATAAAAATCAGCGCCAATTCACTTAAGTTTTCCTACATATAGTAATCAAAATCATTTGTGGATCAAACAACGACGATAGAGAAATAGTACAAATTAAAATACGACGAGATTAAAGATAACGGAGAAAATGAAAGAGGAGATCTGGATAGTGGCCAGGGTTTTCGATTCAGACTGAGAATGAAACAGGCGCAAAGAACGGGATCCACCTAATTATTTACATTCTGTCTAATAATAAAGGTGTGTGTACTGTTACTCAAAAGCATTGGGTGTATTGCTGTCGAATTAAGGATCTCATTGCCAAAGTAAAAAGGTTAAAATATGATGAGTGTGAGTGAGTAAGTAGCTATTGAAATCTCTACTACAGAAACACAAAAAAAAGCTCATTATGTTCATTCTTTGTCTAAATTAATTCTCTCAGTGTTGGATATCTGTCTATGCATCTCCTAGAACTACACATTCTTCCATATCATCACACTCAAAGTATTACAATGTTTCTACTAATAACCCAGATCTGTATCATACATACTATAGGCATCGGAATATACTACGGTTCACAAAATACTACGTACCATCACAAACTGCTTTATCATCAATCCAATCAGCATCACATTTTTCGCCTTTAGGCCAACTCATGATACCCGGACCCGATTTCCTGCCATTTAACCAACCACCAGTATATACTCTGCGATCCGCATACCGCATTGTACCTAATCCATGCATCTTGCTGTCAATCCAATGACCGACATAATTATCATGATTCGACCAGATCATTATGCCACGACCATTTTTTCTGTCATTCATCCAACCACCTGTATATATACTACCGTCAGCATATTGTAATGTGCCTGACCCATTTTTCTTGTCATCGGCCCAATTACCACCGTATTTTTCACCGTCAAAAGAAGTTAGTACACCTAAACCCGATCTTTTGTCATCGATCCAATCACCGGTGTATATGCTGCCATCAGAGTAGTTATGTGTCCCAGTACCATTTCGCTTTCCGTCAGCCCAGTTCCCTTCATATCTGCCACCATCGGAGAAAACGAAGACGCCTGAAACCTGCCGTGTACTGTCAACCGAGGAGTTTGTGTATGTTTGATTGTCGATGTCGTTTTGCCCATCGTGGTCAGTGAACACAACTACAGACGAATTCTTATCATGGTTAACACTATCTCGGTAGACTGTTGTGTCGTTGACGAACTGATATGTGTCGGAACTGTTCGTTTCCTCTTAAACAAATCAAAATCGTAGATAGAAAATGGTGAGCAAGAACTTTATATCTTATATTCTGAAGCTTATGAATGAAGTACAGACTCAATAAAAAAACAAAATATCTCCAGTGGAAAAAAGTTCTGAGACATACATAAGAATCTATCAATAGAATTCAACGGTCTCTACATCCTCCTTCAGCTGTAATACATTCACATATTCTCTATGATATCGAAAATACAAGGTTTTCACATAATTCAGGTATAATTGTCAACTACTCCGCTGATATTTCAATTTCTTATCGATAATCAACTGCAAATTTTCAATAAGATGTGAGGGTGTGGTTGTATGTATTGTGCTTATCTTTGATCTACACCCTCAAGCTACTACCAGTGCATCTACCTTCTATTTTTCCATATAGATTTGAAACTGACCCTAAGTCATAAACTCCGATTTTACGTTTGGAAAAGATTTTTCTGTGAAGAACGAAGTATCGATTGTTAAATCAACTATATCAAATATATGAGTAGTATTTATGTCTTGGTGTCTTTCAAAAATATAAAAACTTGTAGATGAAATTTTATCTTGGCATGGTTTTCACAAAAGATAATCATCAAAAATATTGCTGATCAATTATAAGACAATTACAGTTTTATATGAACAAAAAAACTTATACCATCAGTGAAATAAAATGTAATAATATATAATTTTTGTATGACTTGTTATTGTATTGATGCGAAAGTTAATCATTCTAGAGGCTTTATTGTTAGAAAAAATCGCTTCTACAGTTCGAAGTGATGTTACTACATTAGAAGGAACTATATGTTTGGTACCAAGCATCTTAAGATTTGGAAGAAGAGAGAAAGAGAAATTTTTCTATTATGTACGAAAAGTTTTGACTCATCCTGTAATGATCAATACTATAACTTACCAGATTCATCGAATGCTCGTCCGTTCACTTGACTAAAAAATGATACTTCCAATAACAGTATCACACAACAAAGCAGGAGCTTCGTTTGTATTCCAAATAAATTCATGTGGAAATACTTCTTCAAAAAAATTATATCAAATGAATAATACAAGTCTTGGCATAATATTATTCTATATATATATATATATATATACAGATTATCTTGATATGCGATGAAAATATTTTCTATCTGAAGAAATCTTATATATCAACAACGTTAAATTTTTTATTTACTGTCATCGAAAAATAAGATCAAGTATAAATTATCTGATATGGATTTGTTGAAATATACATTAGACTGAAGATAGGTTATTATTGATGATACCAAATGTTTTTCTATTCTGTCTTCAATATATCGTCGAACCATTTTACCAATTAAATACTTTTTTCAGTGTATGATAAAAGCCTTGATTAATAATAATAATGTAGAAAAAGTCTCGTTCTATTTCTTGCACATAATACTTGGTCTGAGACTTTTGTTAGAAGTAGAGAATATCAATATATACTTGTGCAAACAATCAATCATAAGTCGAAAAATAACGATAGTTTTGACATGTACTTTTAAAATAATCAAAGAAATACAAAGTTCGTTTCGTGTTAATTATTCAATATTTTGAAAACTCATTAGAATTCTGCATTACAATAAAAAACTTGGGTAAGAAAAACGAAGAAATTTGAAATCTAATTTTTACTATCATCGTTTCTTAGAGATATTGAACTACATAAATGATCTAATAATAATAATTGATTTTCTTTTGTTTGTCAGACATAGAATTAATGTATTTTGTAGATGTTTCATTATTATAAAGGAAAGATAATTTAAAAACTATATATTACTCAATGGAATAATTATAAAATGTCAATTGCCATTAAGATCTTTATGATCCACATGTATAATTCCATCAGTTGAAGATTTCAAAGATATATGTAATATCTATACCTTCGTTCTCACTCTGTAAAGAAGAAGTATTATATGTATTCTGAATAGAATTTTTGTTTTTATTTTATGAAACCAATTAAAAATATTTATATTATTGTGATACAAAAAGAATTTCATTCGTCTATATAATAATTTTACTTTCAATGCAGAAGATCATTTTTCACGCTTTATATATCACAACAACATATCATTATCATTACTTCGTACAAATAAAAAAATTCTTTATTGATAGAATTGAGTGCATTGTTAATCGCCCAGATGAATAAATCTAATCCACACCTATTTTCGATTCTTGAGGGTGTGGGTGAATGTGTGCAGGGAAAGGATTCACACTCTCAAAACAAATATGGTGTTGCATTTCTTGATTTGAAGGAATTGAATAAAATATGATAAAACATTTATTAAATATTTACTTCAATTTCTGTGGAAAATATAACAAATCTTTTTCAAAGTTTTATTACTGTTTATTTTGTTTCGGTTTCTTGGCTCGTTTTTCCTTCCAATTGTTTTTGTTTTTATCTATATGAAAATCTTTTTAATATTTGCTTTGTTCAACAAAATTCATCTTGAATTCAATTTTTATTTTCGAGTTTTCATAAAAGATTTCTTTTCTTTTCATTTTCGAACAGCTTTCAAATTTTATCAAAGACAAAATCTTCTTCTCGTGTAATTTCTATTTAATTTACTTCAAAGTACACAACATTTTTTCTTCTTATCTTCTGCAAAATTCAACAAAAGATGAAGAATTTAACATTTATTTCTTAGAGTTTTTTAATCAAAATTATCAAATTAAATTGAATTTCCAAGAAAGAAATTCTAAAAGATCTTTCTTCAATCTCTTTTATCTAATAAAAAACTTTTTTTCTTTTTCTCAAAATCAAAATTTTATTCACAAAATTATTTCAAATTTTTGAATTCGATGATTTTCCGAATCAGCAACATACAGATTTCCTTCATCATCAAGAGATAAATCACGGGGATAATACAACTGATTTGATTGATTTCCTTGGCCATTTCCGCCAACAACAATTTCACCTTCTTCTTTTCCTTCACACCAACGCATCACTCGATCATTCCCCCAATCTATCACATAGATTTGACCCAAATCATCAACAACTACTCCATCAGATAAAGACAATTGATTAAGATTTTCTCCATAACCATTTCCTCCAGCCACAATTTGTCCTTCTTTTGCACCTTTTCTCCATTTCATCACACGATGATTGGAAGAATCTGATACATAAACAGATTGATCTTCATCAACAAAAATAAAATTAGGAAAACTAAGTTGATTTAGTTGATTTCCTTGTCCATTGCCACCTGCCACTATAACACCTTCATTGTTGTATTCTCCCATTTTCCATCGTCTCACTTCATTCTTCTCACGATCAGAAACATAAAGAAATCCATGTTTATCCATTGTCAAGCCGTAACAGCTAATATTCTGAATGAGAACTTGTTGACTTTGATTCATCCATTGAATCACTCGTCTGTTCCCATAATCAGCAATGATGATCGAATGATTTTGTTGATCAACAATCACATCTGTTGGATAATTCAATTGATCTGTTCGATTTGCTTGTTTATTTCCACCTGCAATAGTTTGTCCTTCTCTTGTATTATATCTCCATTCAACAATACGATGATTAAAACCATCAGCAATGAAAATAGTTTTGTTTTTATCAATAAAGATTCCATAAGGGCTATTGAGTTGATTTAGCTCTTGTCCTTCTCCTTTTCCACCAGCCACAGTGATGGCATTTTGTTGCCATTTACTGAATTTTGATACTAGAAAATAATGAAAACAAAAGAGGATGGATGTGGGTGTGAGTGATTCTTTTGATACACCCACACCGGAAAATTCCCAAAAATAGAACGCAGTTGTTCTATGATGGAAATGATACTATCAGATACTGAGTACTTTTGTTCTGTTTTGGGAGTATTATTCCTGGGTGCTGAGTACTGTTATTTTGTTTTGGAAATAGCACTTCTTATTCCATAATAGATTGGTTCTGTATTTTATTATTAATTTGTTTTGGACGACTGTATAATTTCAGATATGATTAGGTAAAATATGAATGCGTAAGTGAGCTACAGATTTGGAATTTAGGTATGGAGCTTATTTTTTTGGACCCAAGAAATATGTCGATTCCTATTTTTTCTTTTATAACAAAACTTTACCATTCTTTGCTGTTGTATGGAAATTGGTCGACCTTGTAAGCATTGTTGTATCTACTATCGACATTGTAGTTATTGCGGTTTTTGTTGTCGGCGTTGTTTCTGTTATCAATGTTTTAAACATTGTTGTTTCTGTTGTCGACGTTTCAAACATTGTACTTTTTGTTGTCGATGTTACATGAATCGATGTTTTTGTTGTTGACGTGGTAAGAATTGTTGTACCTGTTGTCGATGCATCAATTGTAGCTGTAGTTGTATTAACCGTTGTTTCGGCTTTTTTAATGAAAATAAACCATGTTGTAATACTAATGATAGTTATTAGGATAACAACAACAAGATTAATTAAAAAACAAAAATGAATTTTTCTATGAGATAAAGATCTAAAATGATAAATATATTTCGAATAATTAAATTAAATACTCACGATTCTCTTTGTGGACGATTAGATTGTTTAATATTGTTTTTATTCTCTGATTCAGACTAAATATTAAAAAAACTGCTCATTTCGAATTCTCTAAAAAGTATTAATTGTTCTCGTAACTAGCTATTGAATTTATTTAATTTGTTAATCTTTTCTCGAATAACAATAAAGAAAAATAAATCTTTTTCGAAAATATTTTATCTTGAGCATGAATATTTCATCTATTTTTAAAATTTATTTTTTGTCGAATAAAAATAAGAATATGTTTAACAATTTTTTTTAATTCTGTGTGAAAATTCTTAAAAAAAGAAGTGAAATAAACAAATAATGAGAGATTTAATCTTAATTATGTATATTTATGTTTCTATAAATAAAAATTCGACTTGAATCAATCGTTTCTATATAGAATATTTTAGTTTGAGATGACATTAAAAATAGTGCAACGATTTATGATGACTTTTTTCTTACCGATGAGAATAGATTTATTGAAGAAACGATTTGTTAATGAAAAGTATTAGTGAACGTGAAATGTACTGACATAATTTAAAGTTTGTTTTATACGTAAAGAAAAAATATCTAATATTTATTTCTGTTTATTGAGATAAGATTTCTTCCGTTGTTTTTAAGGGAAAAACACTCAAAAAGCTCTGCTTACACATTCTGCACATTTGTCTTTCATACAATGAATATAATTCTTTCAGATCTTTCTTTCTAAAATAGTTATTCCATTTCGTGACTTTTTCTGACACACTTATGCACATAAGAAATCTACTTTTCTGGCTGAACCTCAGATAAAGCAGAACTAGATGTGCTGGTTTAACATTAGTATTAAACTAATTGTAATACCAAATCAGCATCCCTATACATAGCCTTACTTACTTTGTGTTCTGATGATGCGTCATATGTAGTTGCTCGTTTTGCAGCCAACTCTATATCTTCTTCTTTGTTTTTGTTAATAAGAAGTTTTTTATATTCCATGTTTTGGTAATTAGGTTTAGGTAACTTCTCAAGTGCTGGCTGTGATGATACTGTAGTTGTTACTTTTTTTCGTGGTGACGTTGATTGTGGTTCTGAAAAGATGAAATCAATTAAGAACAAATTAGCAGTGCACTATTGACGAAAAAAACGGTAATTATGTTATAGAAATTGTGTAGTAGAATTGCCTTCATCTGAATTTGTGAAAAGAACTTGGAGAAGAAAATATTCTGAAGTTATAATTATGAGAC